GCGGTGGTGGTAGCGGTAGTGGTAGTGGCAGCCAGTGCGCGGGGGAAAAACAGTTGCGGCGTGATCCTGCATGCGCCAGTACTTTTCGGAGAAGACATATTGTTGGTCTTGTTGGTCTCCTGCGTGACGACGGCAGCAGAGGCCGCCACGACGATGCCGTTGCGACTCCAATTTTGGAGACTGTCCGCTTTGCAATGCTTAGCCTGGTTTGGTACCGAGACAGGCTTGCTACCATGCATTCCAATGCCTGCTGCTGGCTGGCCGTGCGCCGATCGAGGCTCAGCAAATCCAGGTACTCCTGAAATGGTCCTGAAACCGAAATGCAGTCCCGGGGTCCAGTATCTCAACATTTTTGCAGACGGAGCACCTGGCCAGGCAGCACCCTGGCTGCGCCGAGCGCGTGAGTTCCTCGAGGCTCCTATAACATGTGTGGGTGTGCTTTGGTCAGGTCGTCGGCGTGTTGGTCTGCTTGTCGCAGCCTGCAGCTTTGTATGTCGGCTTTTGTGTCCGGTTGAGGCTCAAGTTGCTTCAGACTGGGAGCTTCATAGTAGTAGTTCATGACAGCGGCATGTACGGGCCTTGAGTGCTACACTGGCTGATGTCTCCAGATGACGAGAAGCCAGCAGTGGCGGACGCTCCTGAAGACGGACAATTGACGCCGTCGCCGTGTCACCCCACCAATGGTCAAACCAGGAGTAGCAAGGACGATCGCCATGCTCGGCAGAAACTTGCAGAGCTGACGAAACGGGCCAAGGAGCTGAGAGCTGTACTGGCAAAGAAGCCTCACTTAGAGCAGGAGCACGCCAATCTTGCCAAGGAAATCGAAACCGAGCGCATGCTGGTACGAGAACGAGAGCGCTCCCTGGCCATGGAGCTGTCCACAATCGATCACGAACTAGCAGAGTCGAGAAGCCGGCTGGCTCGCTTGCAAGGCAAAGAAGCAGCGCTTCTTCAGCAAGCTTCTGCACCGTTGGCATTGGAAACCCAGTGGGCAAAGGAAGCTGCTGAATCCTGTGGGATTTACGAACTTGTGATGATGACTCTGGTCTCACCTCGAGCGGACCTGCTAACTCCCAGTGCAACGGAAGCAGTTGATTTGCTTCCACCCGGAAAGCGGGTCAATGTCACAGAGTCACTGCACTTGCCAGATGGAGCCGTTCGGGCACGGATCTCACAGCCAAGCGGCTGGATCTACCTGCTTGACCAGGCTGGCACTCGCTGTGCCGTTTGCAAAGAGGTGGACGGCGTCAGCGAGCAAGACATTTCCACAAGCTGCCTTGTCGACAATGGCATTACGTCACGGAGCGCAGCTCTGCGTGGATGGACTGCCAGGGTAGACGAGCAGAAGAGCATCTTTGCCGAGAGCCTACGTGAGTGCTTCAGGAAGGCTGCAGTGGCTGATGCAAGCACAGTTGGCCCTTATATGTTGCAGCCTTTGACGGTGACGCCTTTAGCAAGGCATCTGAGCACCGAAGCCATCAGCCGTACCACTTCCTCCAAGGCCGCCGAGGCCAACAGTGACTTGGCACGACTCGATGCCGAACGTGCAGCCATGGAGATGGCAGATGCAGAATCAGCCGTGACGTCACTGTTCTACAAGCTTCGGGCTGCCGCTTCCAGAAACAAGGTGCTGGAGGTCGTAAATTCACGACTGCACAGCTTCTTGCATAAGGCGAAGAGCGCCGCTGAAGGAGGCCGTCCGACTTTTGGACTGATGGAACACTGGGATGCGCATGAGCGGGGCACAGGCATCCAGCTTGAAGATCCAGAAGCAGGTTGCTCCGTGCACGAGCTCAGGTGGGAAAATCTATCTACCTCCGCCGGCTGCTGCAGCAAGCCTGTCAGAAGAAGTCGACGCATGCGAGGAGGAAGCTCAGGAAGCTCAAGTTCGGATTGATACGATGCTCCGATCGGTCACGGAGCTTCAGCGACAGCGTGGCGAACGCATGCAAGAGATCAGCGATCTTCGTCAAAAGCTTTTCGTCCTCCGTTCTGCTTCCAGCGTCACAATGTCAGGGCGCCAGCTGAAAGCGGTGCAGAGTCGGCTTCGACGGATCCAGGACATAGTCGCAAAGATGGCCAATGGAGCCCTTGAGGAGATTCAGAACGTGGAAGCTTGGGTACGACTTGTTGAGGACACTCGAGCTGAAGTGGCTGCAGGCTTGATGGCAGAGGACGCTACGAAGAGGTCGACGGAACAGGAGGTGCATGCTGTGTTGCAGGATCTTCAAAGCCAGTTCCGTCCCGGTCAGGCAGAGGACGGCGGATTGACTTTGCCGGGCGCGCAGTCCGCATGGTGGCTGGCGGCCAACATCGCTGCACTTTCGGCTTATGCGCAGGTTGAAGCTGCCGAGCTCGGACCCGCAACGGAGGTGGATAAAAGGAGAGAGTTCTATGCCCTTGCTGACAGCCGGTTCGCCAAGGAGATGAGGCATTATGATGACTGGTGAGATACCTTCAGGACCCTCCGCTACGCCGACGCATGTCAAGAAGAAGTGCCAACGATCGCATAGCCAGCCCAGCTGATGCTCCAGGTTAGGAGATGTACACAGGGGCACGTAGCAGTTTTGAGCGCACTGCCGCTGCCAAGCAGCTGCAATCTCAGGACTTGTGCTGCAGTAAAGTCAGAAACCGATGACGGTATCACAAACGTGGCTCGCCTCGTCCGCCGGCGGAGTCGCAGTCAGCATGTGAGACGGTTCGAGATGTAGTAGCACAGCCCAGGCGAGTCGTGGGGCAGGGGATCCCGACGTCGAGCAGCTGCGAGGCAGACTTTGGAATTGGTGTGCTGGGAAGGGACAGGGAGGTTGCAGGGGACTGCAGCTGAACACGCTGCAAAGACAGGGAAGGGCCTATCCCGACAGGCTATGAAGCCGACCCGTCGAGTCATCCGGCAGCCTCGGATCGATCCACGCAGCCTTTTGGATGTATTCGGCATGTCCTGTCCTTCTTGTGAAGACTTTGCAGGACCTGCAGCTTATATCCTTCCCCGAGCAACCCCCGCCGTGATATAGCCCAACCCTGACGTTCAGTGCTCACCCTGAGCTCCAGAACCGGAATAGCCTGGTACAACCTTTCAGCTACTTTCGCAATTGAGTACGGAATACGACTACCTCCAAAACGTCGTAGGTCCTAGGTCGTCGACTTTTTAGACCGGCCCCAGGCTTTCCGGCTTGGCCGGCCCCGTGCTTGCAGCGGCCGCAGTCGCTGCGGCGTTCTTCTTCCTCCGGTGATCCGGTGACAGGGTTCTTGCCAATGACACGTTTGCGTCGCACTCTTTTGATACTAGCATGGCTTTCATACTCTTTGGATTCTTCGGTGGTCTACCGGGGCCAGATCGTGTGATGCAGCGGGCGGCCAAAAAGTGCACGACTGTCCAAACAAAGCATTCGCAACAGCGTCGGCGGAGCATCACTCGGATTTCCATCTTCAGCTGGATCCTGCTCTTCCCGCTTTTTCCATGGGATGTCGAAACTCCAGACAGATCTGAACGCAGGGTCGAGGCCTCTCTGCAAGAGCTGGTCAAAGGCGGTGCCTGCTTGGGGCTCGTTAGCGTACCGTGATCGTCTCATCGCATTCTGGCTTTTTTTTGATTCGGATGCGTCTTAGTCACAAGCGATTCCCACATAGTGGTTTGTAAGTCGGGATTGGGGTGAGGGTGGTTTGGCAGTCCCACCCGGTGTGAAGTTGGGTTGGGTGGTTTGGTGAGTCCTTGTTGGCTTGCAGGGCTCGAGATCTGTGGGCTAGGTAGTTCGGGAGGTTGAATGTTTCATGGTTGATGATGGCGTGGGTTTGGATGCGGCTTGTGGTTGCATGGTGGTTTGTTCGGGAGTATGCGAATGTGAAAGTCGAAACACCTGAAGCCATTTTGGCTGTTTGGCCTTCACCGATCAAGCCATCCTGTAGACTTCAGAAAGACCGAGATGGTGCCATCCCAGCAGAGTTTAGGCTACGAGCAGGAGGAGTCGACTCCGATGCCCGTGATGTGGTATATGGTGCCAGCAGGCCAGGTGGAGCAGATGCCGTGTCCCGTCCAGGTCCAGCGTGTCAGCTTCGCAGCCGGAGCCTCGGCGACGATGACCCCGAGCTCCATGTCGCAGGGCTGGTGGCAGCCGCCCATGCAGATGCCCCAGAGGCTGCCGTTGCAGCCCGTGCAAGCAGCGCAGCAAATTCAGCCAATGCTGCTGCCAATGCAGTCCGCTCAGATGGCATGTCCGGCCTCGGACGTTCCGTTGGAGGGCCAGTGCACGTGGAGCTACACAGGCACCGTGCCCGAGCAGTGCTGTTGCCCTCCGCGGGCTTCCGCAGGCTCCGTGGCCGAGGTCTCCACAGCGCCCTCCGAGGCATCGCCGCGCTTCCAGGAGGCGGACAACCTGGCCAATTCCATGAAGACGTCCGCGTCCACCGCTCGACGCCTGCGCCGCAAGCGCGCCGCCGAGCGAAAGGCCAGGGCTGACGCTGCGGACCTCACAAAGGAGCTGCGCTCTCACCCCGACAGTGGGGAGGAGCTGGCACAGCTCCAGGGCCACGTTTGGGAGCTGTCGCAGCACAAGAAGGGCTGCCGGCTGGTTCAGAAGGCCCTTGAAACCGCGGGCCGCGAGACCGTGACAATCGCTGCTGAGCTCTCCGGGCACATCGTCGAGGCCATTAAACACCCTGAGGGCCAACTACGTGGTGCAGAAGGCCATCACACAGCTCTCGGTGGGTGGCTCTGGATTTATCGTGGAGGAGATCCTCGGTTCGGCAGTCGCCGTCGCAAAGAACCGGATGGGGTGTCGGATTCTCTGTCGCCTTCTAGAGTTCTGCAGCACCAACCCCAAGGTGGGCTATCTCGTGGACGAGCTGCTAGCAGATGTTGCGGAGCTTTGCTGCCATTCCTTCGCGCACCATGTCATCGAGTCCATTTTGGAGCACGGCGAGGAACGGCACAAGCACGTGATCGCTCAAACTCTGATTGCGGATGTTGTGAGGTTCGCGCAGCACAAGAACACAAGCTACTTGATCGAGAAGGTGATGACCCTTTGCACTTGCAGTGAGCAGGACCAGGTGGCTATGGTCTGCGCTCTGGAATTCAAGTGCCTGCTCTTCTTGGCCAAGACCCAGTATGGCCGGCATGTGGCAAAGACGATGCTCAAGGACCCACGCTGGTATGCCGTTTGGGGCGCAAAGGACTTCGAGTGGCTAATCTTCCCCTTCAGAGCCGGGCTCGAGTCCGATCGGTTCGGCAGCCTCTTCTTGAAGGACATGGCGGAGTCTCTGCGTAAGCCCTGAGCTGTCGGCTGCGAAGCCTCGGGAATTTGCTCTGCAAGCAATACCATACTGCCCGTTGAGGCGTTGATGTACAGTACTGATGGGGGGCAAGGCGCACGGAGTGCTTTTTTTTGCAAACTGTAGATGTTCATACACACCGCCAGCTCTGGCAGGAACCTTCAAAATCTCCCTATGGCCAGCATCACTCCGCCCAAGCATGCAGCTGAGCCCTCCAAAACCGCTGTGGCAGAGAAACTTCTGTGACAGACCGGGAGACTTCAGCGATCCTATATGCCGGGTCTGTCGGACTGCAGGCATTGTACAGTCCGGCCCATGGGACAAAACACAGGCGAGTTTGCAGGGCCTCACTGACCCAGACACGAAAGTTCTTTGCCGGGTGTAGTAGAGCTTTTTGGCATCGGCTGCATCTAGCAGTGGTGTTGGGCTGCTGGTGATTGGTGCTACGATTGTGGGATTCGGGCTTCTTGATTGCGGTGGTTTTGAGTTCGCCGAGGGACTACCAGCGAAGTGTTGTGCCCTTGTCTGGGATGGCTTGGATGTGCAGGTTGGTGCAGAGCCACGTGTATAAGATCTATGAATGGGCGGTTGTCGTATCATGGACCATGGGCTGTAGTGTTGTGGACCTGTGTCGTGAAGTCTTGCCTACCTTGTGCGAGTGTGAGAACCAAATGAGCGTGTAGAGCTTCTGCTTGCGTGTTGGTATGAGGTGGTGGTAGTGAAACAGCGCTTTCCTATGACAGGGCTCCTCGGTCAGAAGAACGTGTCCGCTACCCAGTTTTGCGGGGTCTAGATACACTTCCTCTGATCGGCGCAAAGTGGAGCTACAGATGGCTTGGATCAAGGTTTGCACGCGGAGTTTGGGTGCTCGAGGGCTAGAGAGTTTTGGTGGGTTTCCTGAAGGTGAAATGTTACAATCGGGCCTCGACTGGGCATGCCTCGCTTCGTATCTGCAGCTCTCTGCTAGGAGGGCCTGGCTGTTTGTAGGCTTGTTTCACTTCCTCCATGCAGTACTGTATGGTTTGAGGTTCGACTTGTCCTTTCAGCAGCCGTCGCAATTTTACACGGGGTATTGCTCGACCGAGGGGAATTAAGAGTTCGGTGGACTCTGGAGTCAGATTGGAAGCCCGATCTTCAGAAGGGTTTTGGCAGAAGGCCCACGGAACCCGGCGCCGTGCGCGCGGAGGAGGCCTCACTCGACAAATGTACCGCCGCTCTGCAACGCTTTACAGACTTTGCTGCGTCTTTGGCATTGATATCGAACGATAGCTAAAGACATATTAATGAAGCAACCCCGCACTTGTCCACAAGCATGCATTCTTTCGCAGCCTGTCGCATAGCTGCGACCTTCATTCGTGAGACCGGTGCCCGGTCTGCCATCAACCGTCGCAGCTGAAGTGGCTCTCTGGAGTTAGGGCAGTGGCTGGGCTGCGAGTGGCCCCAAGCATGGTGCAGCTTGGCATGCATCTCACGTGTCAAGGTCGAAGTGGGTTCAGCTGCAGCGATGCGCTTTACCTCTTTTGTTGCGCTTTTGTGCAATCGGACGAAGGCTGCATTTGCCATCTTTTTGCAAGTAGTAATCACGAGCAAGTACCAGCGACAGCAGCTCACCCACACCCGCCACCTGCCCAGGAACATTCCCAAGACGAGGAACACGAGCTTTGGCCGGAGTGAAGCAGTCAGGGTGTTGGCATAGCCGCGGTCGGACATTTTCTAAAGGTTTCCTTCGGTTGTGCAGGTGCAAGCTTACAACGCGTCCGAAAGTGCGCTCATTTGCAGGACTAGCTGAGTAGAGGCATTGCTCGAGACTTGGCAAGGTACTGTCGCAAGTGCAAGAAGCACACTCCCCACAAGGCCTTCATGCCGGGAGCCCGTGCTGAACCATTAGTCTTCTTTGATTGAACCNNCCCCCCCCCCCCCCCCCCCGCAGTAAAGGAAATCCTTGCCTGGCTTGGAGCGCAGTCTGATTGGTGTTCCAAATCCCAGAAGCAAGCTTGGCAGGTCTCGCAGTACAAGACTGGCAAGGCATCCTTGAGCGCACAGGGAAAACGACGATACGATCCTTGGGACTTTTTTCAACTCGTGTTTCCTGAGACGCCGGCGGTTTCATAGATCATGTGGACCGAAGCTGCGGATGCAAGAGGTTTTGCTCCATCGATTGCACGTGGACAGGCCGTAGCATGGGGCTGGAGCTCAGGACAAAAAGCAAGCTGGCTTTGGCGGGCAGACGAAGCCCGTGTTCCACAAGAAGGTGGGGGCGAATCCAACACGGACGTGTACATAGGCTGTTGCTTGAGGCAGGCGTGCGAGCCAGTTCATCCTTTCACAGGTCCAGGGTTCGCATGGGCTAGATAGGGTTAGAGGGAAGCGGCTGGAGAACTCAACTATAGCACCAATTGAGGGGTTCCTTCCTCGGCGGGTGCATCCAAGGCCAAGACAACGAAGAAGCACCTCGGGTCTGAAAGCTGCGTGCCGACAGCTCGATCGGATTTCTGGGCTCGGTGTTGGGACCTCTCAATTTCTAGAATGACGAAGCTCCGCTTGCTTCCTGGCCTTGTGGTGAGTCAAACAGGAGCAGCCCATCCAGAAAGAGCTGACATGCCGTCCGTTTTGCGGTAGGCTGTCTCGCGGCAAGATGCGTGGCATTTTCGAGGGGTAAGCAACATGCCAACATGGCGACGTGGACAAGCCCAGGATCGTGCTGAAGTTTGAGTGCACGAAGTGCAAGGCAGGCCCTGAGTGTGGAGTGTCCTGTGCCACACTGCGTGATGCAGGCAGTGCTGTGGGCGGACTTGTGTAACGGCGACAAACACAGACTTTAGACTCAGCATGCCTCTTCCGAAGGCCAAGCGGATGAAGCCTATCAAGCGGACGAACCTTTGCTCGAAATGTGCGCAGTGACAGAGCTGGACTTTACTTGAGACGGTCCTATGAGTGGGGTGAAGACGATGTTGAGAAATGTGTTTGTGGGACCCGATGCCCTTTCAGGAAACATTTCGAGCTCGGCACTGATTCCAAGAAGGGCAAGAACGAGCCACCTGGACCTGGACCTTGCTTTAAGAGCTGCTGCTCAGGCGATCGAAATTGCAAAGTCCGATGGCTGTCACGAGCTTCGACATGTCCTGTGAGTTAAAAATCCTAGATCGTAGACATTGCCATGGCTTGACGTCGGATGGGGCAGGTAGGATAGAAACACCCCGACTGCTAGCACCCGTCGAGCGGCTGCAATCAGATCCATGCAGCCAAAGGAAGCACATTCTGTCAGCGATGACGAATTTCTGGGCAGCTGAGGTATGGCAGCAAGTATCGATAGACCGATATGCTGCCCCTCTCAGATGCCGCCCTGCCTGGCAAAAGCAATCATTCTCAGATCTAGGAAGCATGCAATGCCGCAATGCAATTCCTCAGACCTCAACCCTCAACCCTGACATGGCTTTAGGCATGCAACATGCATGCAATCCAGAAGAACGAGATTGAGCTTCAGCGACCTTTAGTGAAGTGCTGTAGGGTAGAGCCGGGTAGAGGTTTCGTTTCGGATGGGACTAGAAACCGAAGACCAGGCCGTGTGGCCATTGAGAGCCTTTGGAATAGATCATGCGCTTCCAGCATCTCCCAGCCTTCCAACCGAGAGCAGCCATGCGGTGTCCTTTCATCTCACAAGCCTTGATGCTTCAGGGGTGGGACTTTCCTATCATGATGTTAGGTTATCTTCCACCCTTTGTCTGCTTTGGCACAATGTTTGCAGATAGCGGAGGCCGTGCCACCACAGACCGTGTTTGCAATCTGCGCAAGCCTGCTTCAAGGAAGGGAGAGCTCCTCCACAAGCTTACTTCATAGAACAGTATGAAATCCCTATCACACCGTGCTGCTCCCCAAACCTGTAGAGTGAGCAAGACACCATCAGACGCTTTCGCGCGACCGCACCCGCCGTCGGGCTGGGAGCGAGGCATAGCTAGTTCGATAGTACTTGTAGTAAACATAGCAGCTCTCAATACTCTAGCTGTTTTTACTACTGTTGATGAAGGAGTGGTAGTGCGACAACAACAACAACAACGACACGAACACTGACACTTGTTGAGCTTCTCTCGGTGCGGTTCTATGTAGTTAGCGCCATGAAGAGTTTGTTTAAATTTAACCTCCGATGCCATTCATCAGCCGATGGAGTGATGAGATGTCCACGCCAAGACTGAGCGCCACCGAGCAGCGACTCGGCTTCAGAGCAGCAGGTTTTGGGCTTCAGCCTTTGGGGATTAACACAGAGATGTTTGTTAAGGCTTGGGGCTGGTGCAGGGTGAGTCTTTTCGCCTTCAGGGTTTGTGTGGCAGGGCGGCATTGTTGCTTCGGGGCTTCTTGGTTGAATTCCGGAACGAAACACCCAGGAAGACCATCCTCGGGTGGCTCTATGAGGGTGATTCTTCGGAAGTGAAGGAATTGGCCCGGAGCTCAGCCAGATAAATCTTTCCGACCCCCGCTCTGTTGCAAATCAGGGGTGTGCTTGAAGATTTCAGCCTGCCTCCATCATGCGATGGATCGATACTGCATGCCTTCTGCATACGGTCTACTTTTCTTCGTTTCGCAACTCGTGTTGTTGGCCAGATGTTGCAAGCAGAAGAGGTCCAGACAGGCGGCCGCTACTTCGATTTCAACTTGGTGGATGAGGCATTACCGTTTTGCAAGGCTTCTCATGACCCAGAATGCGTATAATTGTTGGCCGAGGTCCGAGGTAGGGGACTTCCACTTCGACTGCTTTTGTCTTTCTAGTCAGTCCTAGATGCAACTTCGGACTACATACGACAGAGCACCTGACAGGTCTGGGGCACACCGCTTCTGGCCATCCTTGCTGGCAACATGTGGAATCCGTCGGAGACATCCGATCAGAGCCATCGCTGCCATAACTCCGTTGTGAGATTTCCCTTCCAAAACTGTGAGCTGAGCTTTCGAGAAACCCATCCTTGGGGACGCGGTTGCATTGCACCGCGGAAGCTTACAACTCGGCGGGAAGCTCATGGTTCAAGAGGAGGGAGGGCTGGTTGAGGTTCAGGCATTCTTCAGCTGTCGGCCCCGCGTCGGCACGCCTGTTGACCTGAGAGTTCCGGTGCGCTTCCGCGCAGTTGGGTAGATGGGGGGATTTGCTGAGGCTGTTACATAACCACTGGCGACCCAAACACGCCAGCTGTGTCGACTTGCTGCACACTGCCTCGCTCGCTGGCTTCTTCCCCGCTCTTCGAGTCACCTAGCATCCCACTCCTCTACTTGCATGGACTCAACACACTCATGTTCGCTCACTCCCTCGTTCACTCACTTAGTAGTCACTCCCAGGACTTTCGTAGCCAAGAAGCACCTCGCGGCTTTCTGCCTGATGGCCGGGGCGAATCCGGAGCAGCATGCGCCGGACTCGTGCAGGCAACTCGCTGAGGGGCCTGGGTTATAGAAGTTCCCTGCACGACCTGCAAGCCACAGCTGATGTGAGAGCACTTCTCATTCCAAGCTCTATGTAGAGCTCGCTATTCCTCGTGTCTAGTTTCTGCCCGCCAAAACAGCAAGCATGGCTGTAGGAATATTCTTAGGTGGCGAGTGTGCGTTGGCTGGGCGTCAGCACCCTTGGCTGGAAACTCGCCCGTCTCCCTCACCAGCCGCTGGGGCAGCAGGTAGGGACTTGGGGATACGTCTTACCTGCGCGATGATCATCTAGCGCTTGGCCGGCAAAGCAAAAGATAGGTTCGGTTGCCTTCGGGAGATGAGTAGAGCTTCGTTTGCCTGACCCAAGGTGCTTTGTACAACCAGCTGGACGACGATTGCGATCCTGTCTGGTGTCCTGGATTGACAAGCCTGACCCATGCTGTTGCGAAGCTGCGAGACTTGCCAAGAGGATGGAGTTGCTCTTTCGGAAACCTCACCAAATCTCGCCCTTTCCACAGCAGGGGCCAAGAGGGCTTTTCCAGCTTTTACATGTCGTGAAGGGGATGCAGTACCCGTAGACCCAGTCATGATCTTTGTGCTCCAAAGTACATTCCTGGGCTCAAGCAGGTACTCCCCATGGACGCTACCGCGAAGCAGGGCTGATCTGCAGGAAGGGACTTGCTTTTGTAAGATTTTACGTGCTTCATCTTCTTGGCAATAGGACTTGGCAGACGCGCAGAAGCTGAAGCAGATTCTAGAAGCCCGAATTCTGGACCAAGCTTCGCTCGCAGTCGCTGCGCAGCTCTAACCCAAGACCTGTGTGCCTATGCTGGGATGTACCTAACCTGAAGCCGCTGAGGTGAGATGCGAAACTATGAAAGCCGCAATCTAGACCATCCAGAACTGGTCCAGAAGCGCCTAATTACACCCCAAACCCAAAACTAAAGATCATCCGATAAAAATTGAACGGTACAGAGAGGATTAGCATCGAGAAGTGTACCAAGTAAACCCAAAAGCACATCTCCGAAAGCCCGATGCAGATGGCTCGCTTGCGTCTGCGGGAGGCAGCCGGATCTTGGAAAGTGAACATGGGATCGGCTTTGGAGCTTGGGAATCGGGGTTTTTAGAAGACTCAAGACCCAACAAGCGCACTGTGATTGGGGCATTTGATGGCCTTTCCGTGGCTTTTTTGTCGAACTTGAAAGTTGTAAACTGCAAACACGTTAACCGCGTCACGAAAATGGCGGGATCAAGGCATCACAGAGTGCAGTGGTGCTGACTGTTTATTATGTTTTTTTCTTCGTTGCATTTGGCCGCATATGGAGTCGTATGTCTCCTGCAATGTTGGCCTGTGCACACGCACTCCGAGAAGAGCAAGGCTGCCAGGAAGCAGTCGAGAAAGCGACCTCTACGACAGCCACAACCAATAAAGACGGATAGCATTGCAATCCACACAGGCAAGATCAGCAGTCACCGCAATACTAACCATGCCGTTAGCGATACCTGTCCACGGTGCTTCAGCAACACTGCGGGAATCCCAGAACGCAAATGAAGTAAGCAACAAGTGAAAGCGACGTTTAGCAAGAAGGATGCCAAGCTGACAAGCATAGCGTGGTCCCAAGATTCAGTTTGTGAGGTGCTGGACCTTCTGACTGGCCACTGTCCAGGGCCTCAGGAAATCCGAGGGATTCGATGCAGGTCATAAGTGGCTACGTGCAGCCGTCCGTTAGGCTATGTTCTAGATGTGCTCTCTCCCTGAGTACGCGAGAGAGAGAGAGAGAGTTTGGCTCAAGTGCTGCACCCTTGCTCGTGACGCCCCCCGTGCATCGGGGAGGGGGGTGCCTGGTTGACTTGGGGTGTACCCCCAAAACAGCCCGTTCACTTTCCTCCAGCGGTGCTTGAGTCATACGCCCGCCACATTTCTCATCAAGTGACCCCCTCTTCGTAGTGCCTCTGAGAGACCAACCTTGTTGTCATTATTGCCGTGGTTTCGCTGTATTTATTGCCGTAACACTGGTTCCCTATTCCCCCTTGCACCGTGGCGTACATCAATTAAGAGTTGTGCATGCTCAAGCGTACTCTGCTATGCTATAGTGGAACAAACTTCTCCGATGCACAGATGATTCTTGAATTCGTGTAGTTCGTGGTCTCTTACCACGAGTCACTACCACGACTTCTGCTACTGCGACGACGACAACGACTACTGCACTACTACCATTCCTTGGACTGCTGCTACTACTACTACTACTACTACTACTACCACCATAGTAGTAGTGGTGGTGGCTAGCAATACAAGGAGGAGTAACTTTCCAGATTGTACTTCACTAAACTAAGTCTAGAGTCCAGTCGAGGGATCTATTTTCAGATATGTTTGCAGCTGGGAAGCCCTCTAAAAGTAGCCCTTCGGGCCCGGTTGCGCGAGGAGGCTGGCCTGAGCAGTGGGAAGGTTCGCATCCTTGATTGCGTGCAGAGCTGCTGGCTTGCATGTAGGTTGGGTTCAACCCAGTGCCGCTGTAGAAGGCAAAGTCGCTTGGACTTCTTTTGTTGCCATGTGGATGCAGCTGCAGAGAATGCGTGTCGGACAGACAACTGCATGTTTTGTGTTGGCTTGGAGGCACACAGAAGTTGTACAACGGATCTTCGGATGGAAGTTAGGAAGCTGATCTATTGAATATCCTGGCAAACTGGACCGAATACGCGGCTCCTTTGCTTGTTCACCCTGTAGAAGAGACCTTAAGCTTGGCAATACGCCGCCATCGCAATCGAAGGTCTCTGGGAGAGCGTCCACAAGCAACAGTCGCTTGCAGACGCAAAGCTGCTGGTCAAGGATCGGGCGGATAGCCACCATTATAACCACAGAACGGTAAGAGCAACCGTCGGACCGTAGCAGCAACAGCCATAGTGTTAACCCCTGATTCATCACACCCGCCCCCTTTTTTCACCCCTAGGGTCATCAAGAGGGAGGATCCCGGACCCCAAAATCATCCAGAATAGTAGCAGTGGCAGTACTACTGGGACTAGTATTAGGACTAGTACTACTACATCTACCAGCACGCGTAGCAGTAGAAGTGCTGCGCATTGCATCCATTCGCAGAGATGGCTCAGAACGACGCAAGCGTCTGTTTTCCTAGATCATGCCGGTATGCATGCATTCATCGATACATCCACACGTGTACACGTGCGTAAATGTATACATACGTATGTATTGGCATCCATCCATACATGCATGCATTTATACGTATGCATGTATGTATGTACGCATGTATGTATGTGAGCATGTCTATATGCATGTGGGTATGTATGTATGTATGTATGTATGTATGTAGGTATGTATGTATGTATGTAGGTATGTATGTATGTATGTATGTATGTATGTATGCATGCTCTCGCCTGCTTGTCGAGTACGAGTGCCAAAAATGTATGTATGCATATGTATATGTATGTGTATTCGCTAGCTACGCAAATACTCGCAATCACACGAGCAAAGCAATAGTTAAACCATGTAGACTAAGTAGGTATGTACATGATCATGAACACTGTGTGAACTATATATATATATATACACATATACATATACATATACATATACATATACATACACAAATCGATAGATGCTCGATAGATAGATCAACAGATCGAGAGGTAGATGGATGTAGACATACATATATAAAACTCTTGCAGGTTGCAGACCAGGAACGTTATATGGCATAGCATGTATAAATGCAATTGGCATTGGGTGTGTAAGAAAAACGCGGATTTTGATATGTACACATGTACCATGTATCTGTACGTAGACATAAACCCAGTAAGCCAGTACATTGCTACTGTTATTATGGTCATGAGTACTAGTACTGTCGTATTCATTTGTTCTATTATTGCTGACGTGTGCGTATATATATATATATANNATATGTGTGTACTATGTATGTTGAGACTTGAGGTTAGTAGTTCTAGGAACGGCCAGAGGAGTCGCCAGACCGATCCCCCATCGTTCTGACGGCACATTCCTGGCTCTTGAAGCAGGCGCCGGAAGACCGGAAAGCAGGATAGGCTTTGTTTGGAGGGCTTTAGAGTTCCAGCTTCAGGAAGTCATCGTGGCGTTTGTGCATCATGGCCGACTTGCGTTTACCACCCAGGTACAAGAGGGCTCGTGCAAGACTGCGTAGCGAGTGCTCCGAACCTCAGGCTTGCCCGGGAATGGTCTTGAACGAGGACAAGGAGGTGGGGAACTTAGAGCTGAGGCGAAATCAGATCTTGGCAGCAAGAGGGTACGTCGGCCCGAATGGTACAGTATGTTTTGACAATTTGAGGCTTCCTTCATAGTTTGGTCTGGCACCTGCAAGTGATGCGGTAATCTCAGCCCAGAGAGGCGACCGTAGACCAAGCATTCAGGCCTCGCAACCACCGGCCCGAAAAGCAAGAATCCTCACGCTGTGATGATAGGAATCCGCCGAAGTACAGGTGGAGATTCGCAACACGCGGGACGTGGTGCAAAACTTCTTATCCCTGGTCTACTCGGGCTGCTATCTTGAGGTCTGCCGGCAAGTTGCCTTCGCGACAAGGAACAAAGTAGCCTGGAAGCGTTGTTCCGAAATCTTACTATCATTGATGTTTGGCTTCTGTCGCCTCGTGCTACTACGACACGAAGCCCCTGAACCGTCTGCGGCATCAAGTTGACCCTTTATGGCGATTCCTTGAGGGTTCTACCAGTGCCGCCTGATTTTCTGCAACTCCCCACTATCCGCCAGGGTCGGCCCAGTTTGGACGTGCTGCTGGAGATCTGCATTCTCGCAGACAAGATTCTTTGATACATTGGCCAGCTAGACTCCGGGCGGTGATGTGGCGCTGACCTCTCTTACCCGTAGTGCGTGTGTTCCAGGATGAAAGCCTGGACAATTCTTCGGCCCCTCATCGGACAAGTTCGGGAGGACTGGTGTCCAGTGCTTGCTGGCGGAACCTTTAACTTCCTGTCGTGGACTCAGGCACTGTTCAAAAACCAGACACTTGTACATCCTTGCAGGAGCTCTCCCTCACAACCTTCGCTCAGATCTGCACCGTTGCCATCTCGAGCCTCGACATCGCAGAAAGATGTCCCCATTTGCCTCCCTTGCCTTCCGGCTTGAAGCGCTGCAGGAATGAGAACGCGTACTTGCTCATCGATTGCCAAAAATTCCTGGAGCAGTCTGCCCCTCTGGAGGATGCATGGGTCGCTGGCCTGCCAAGACAGGCCATCCTAGGGCTCTGAGGGATGCAGGACTTAGTTCAACAAAGATAGGTTCGCACTTCCCATTCTTGCTGCAGGGAGATTTCCCATGGTACGGATCCCGGGCAGGATTTGTCGCGACAGTTGATGTGTTTTTTAAAATGCCTTCTTTGAGCTGTCGCGGTCGCGGCTGAATGAAGGGTTTGGGCGTCCACAGCCCTTCGTCGGAGGAACAGAACCCGGTCCAGGGCCCGGGCCCGCGAACAGGTGCGGGACTTCATCCAAGAAACATTGGGCTGGCGTGCCCATCAGATGCAGAACCGCATGCTCTGAGAGGCTCTGAGCGCACAGCCGTTTGAGTCTTTGAGCATTCCGAAACGAACCAACGGGAAGCCCCAAAGGTTTCGGGCAACCCCGAAGGTCAGAAAGCGGTGCCACGGTGCCGAGTTTAGGTTTATGGACCTTTCAAAGGATGATACTATTATTTACGGTTCTATATAGAAGGTCCCTGCTGTATGTTCTGAGACTCCCATGCAAGAACGTAGGAAGGGAGGACTGGAAATGCATGTTTGCACGAGGCAGGCATGTTTGATGCCAGTGGCTTCCATCACTACGTCCGAAACCGGCGTTCCTCCAAGTCTCGCTTCCATCCTTCCTCGTCTGGAGACTACTCCCCGATCTGTTCGTAGCCACCCCCCATATATCTCGCGAGCAGCTATCTAAGTCAATTTTGGTACTTGCATGCCTCCAAAGCCCGGCGTCAGCTGTCCTCAATGTGGTACTGCCCGGTGAGAAAACATGTGGACTGCTGCCACTGCTGCCCTTATTCCGTGGGGCAGGGTAGGGCGGGTAGGGTCACTGGCGCTCAGGAGTAGCGAATTTGCATTGCCGGAGCCTACTGTAGCATGGAACATGTTTTGTGCCCGCGCGTGTGTCTGGCGCTCCTGATGACAGCGCCAGACAGTTCCCTGTGAGGGCTTGTCCGGTGGAAAGACGGAGAGCGGGTCTGCCTGCTCGGGTACAGCTAGGGATTCTGGGCGAGATGCTATGCAATATCGTTAGTGTACTGAGTCTTCAGAGCCTGCCTGGTAAGCGGTCGGCTGTTTGGAGATCGTGGATAGGGGCTTGCAGACAGGTACATGGTCCAAACTCGTCAGTGTGGGAGCTTGTTAGCTTTCTGTGTTCATGCTCTTGTGTCTGAGCGTCATCGTCCAGGTCTTGTCTGTGAGTGTTCAGACTCGGAAGGTCTGTAGCAGCCGTGGTTAAAGGCATGCCTTTCCAGCTCAGCAAAGTAAGGCAGCATAACGTGTCAATGTATGTCCATGCGAGCAATGCTGTGTATTTATGTGTGTGTAAAGACGAACGTAGCTACTTACATGTTTGTGCATGTGTGTAAGTAGGCAGAAGGACCCCCAACCATGCCGCCAGACATGCCAAGTTCAAAGGAGGACTGACCCATATTCGAGCAGGAGCACCATTCGGCCCACTTCACCATCATTCCGACATGCTTGTATGTGGAAGCCGCCTTCAAACATGCATAGAGTAGGCTTGCAGTAGCGTCTCCATCCAAACGAACGCCTGCAGCCAATTCTTAGCTCAGGATGGACACAAGGCTAAATATGAGCTGCAGACCAAGAGGGCGCTTCAGGAAGCAGCATTGCAACTGCTCCAATTGTAGACTGGCCTTCTTGTCGCCCCTGATCTCAGCCCACAGCCTAGGGGTCTTGTTATTGCGGCCTTCGGGCTTCGAAACTTTCAGAACAAGCGTCGGCAAGTCGAAGTCAAGCAGCTGCATGGCATGAATCTCAATCGTCCTCTTAGTCTTCCCAGATAGTTGGTACGCAGCCCTCAAGACGCCAACACAACCGCTCTCAATCCGGAGCGGCTGCTTTGTAATACGGGGCTTCGTGGCGGTGCCATCCATGGCCCGGCAGCCGCCCCCGCCACCCAAGCCTCAGAGGCCGGATAACCCGACGCACGTTTCTTCTGACAGTCTTCTTTGCTCGGGTGCAAACTTCCCTCGCATTTTGAGCGACGGACGGCAGCGATGATGAGCGCGGCGCCTCAATCCAGCCGGATGTTTTACGTGTCAACCAACCAATAGGTAGATACACACATATACTCATGCATACGAACCTACGTACATACATGCATGCAGCCATACATACACATACATGCAGACATACATGAATGCATACGTACAGACAGGCGGACGAACAGACACAGACAGATAGCCAGCTGCTAGCCTCCCGCCCAGCCTCCTGCAAAAATGTACCCTGCCGACCGACAAACCTACGTACCTACCTACCTACCTACACCGGCGCATGCACACATAGACCCTGTGCAGCAACAGACGTCCAGAATAAAGCTAGGTCCTGTCTGGGAAAACAAGAAGAGGGCTTTCGATTTTGTATGGTTCCTGGTGCCAGGCAATGGTCTTGCAATGCTGCAAGCTCTTTTTAATATCCCATGGGCCCTTAACAGTGTTTCCTTTACAATAATTTCGTGTTGCATGCTTGCTCAAAGGACCCGTGGCGCTGCTGGGAAGGCTTTCTGCGGCGAAAGGGCTTAGGGTGGGTGTGAATTTTCCGGAGCATTCCCAGAGAGCGAAGCCCAGCTGTTGCTCGCAAACCGAGACGCAGATCAAGTCAGGTGCTTCACTTTTGCTTTTCTTTTAGCTTGAAAGAGAGAGGAGGGAAGCCCTGTAGTCAGCCGAAAGTGTCCATGTCCAGCCAGGCTTGTCCTTGTCGCCCAACTGCCCCCGATTTCGACATTACTACAATCCACAAGCGGCTGAATCCAGCCAGAAGCGCACCAAGCCCTTGAGACCTCGCTAGGAGAGTTAATCAGCAATCTGCCAAGAGATGCATTGCCTCACCTCAAAAGGCTGCTGATCTCGAGCATTTCCTGCAGAAGTCGGATGCACTGCGGAAAGCGGGCAACTACAAAGAAGCCATCCAGGCACTGGTTGGTCTCTTGCTGAATTGCCCTTACAGGGATTCGGACCGTTGTCTGATTCGACATGCTTCTGGTGGGAGGACCTCGCAGGCTTCGCCTTCCAAGCTGGGCCTACAAGTACGAGATGGGGTATTATGACCTTATGTGTGATGACGGCGTGTACTTTGCAGTTTCTGTGCCTCCTAAGATCTCCAAAGTTGCCACATACGCGCACCTACACATGTATCTATGTATGCATGCATGCCTGCCTGCATGCCTACATGCATTTGTGTCCGTATGACAGGGTGCCTGTATGCGTGTTTGTTGTGTATGCGTGTGTGTGTGTGTGCACGAATGTATGTATGTATGTATGTATGTATGTATGTATGTATGTAGCTATGTATGTATGTGTTAACGTAATGTAACGTAATGTAATGTAATGAATGAATGTATGTATGCTTATATGCATGTATGCCTATATGTTTGTGTGACTCTATGCCTGTATGACTGTAGGGGCGTGTGATGTGTATGTCATGTATGGGTGTAAGTGTATACGTATGTAGATGTATGTATGTATGTTATGCTTTGCTATGTCATGTAATGTGATGTGATGCGATGTAATGCAATGTACCTCGTAGGTATGCACGTACGTTTGCATGTATGTAAGCCAGCGAAGGCATGTATGAAAGCATGTACATATGCATGCATGTAAATATGTGTGCAGTCATGGAGGGAGGGAGGCAGGGAGGGCGGGAGGGATGGAGGGGAAAAAACTGAACGCATGCATGCATGTGTATAGGCAGATAGAAAAACAGATAGATAGATAGATAGATAGGAACGACTATAGGACTATAGCTTGTATGCCTTGTGCTGTGGCCCCGACTTGCTGAGTAGTGCGTCTTGTGCATGCCCTCCTGTAGGTCTTGGATCGGGCCCTTCTCCTGGATCCGCAATGCACACAGGCCCGGCTACCGCATTCTTGCAAAGAGCCGGCTAGACGCGTGCATAAGTTCTTACCCACATGTATACTTGTATCTGTATGTTGGGGGTGTCAACGTGAAGTATTTGCCAAGATGTTTGTAACGACATCACCACACAAGTCATGTCGCGTGCCAGACCCTGCTAGACTGTTGTAGAAAGTCCGATCTAGCAAATCGTGGCATGCTGCTGGCTGTCATGTGTAAGAACTAGTTTGACTCGTTTTGTATCTGCAGGTACAAGCAATCAAGCAGTGATGGGTTAACCGTTGTTGCTGTTAAAAGTTCATAAAGTCAGGGGTGGCAAGTGACAATCACAAACGATCACCATCGCACTATTTGAGGGCGTTCGCTACTGGGCAGTTGCAGATACAAGTGCTGTCCGAAGGCTTTGTCTGCGCGTGGTGCAGCTCGCCGGGCATTGCTACAGCGAGAAGAGGCATCGGGAGTGGGCTTCTGTGTGGTCGAGTTTCTAGATCTCGAAGATCCTCGTCCTTATTTGAGATCGATAGATAGATAGATAGATTGTTGGATACATACATACATACATGCATACATGCGTACGTGCATGCTGGACCTACAAATAGAAATAGTTGTAGTAATAACAGCAAGATCGTCATTACCCCGGCTTGTTTTGAGCAAGAAGAGCAATCATTAGCATGAATGTAACAATCGTAGTATGAATAAAATCCAAAAGGATGACAACAATAGGTGTGCGTGTATATGTATGTATGTATGTATGTATGTATGTATGTATGTATACATGTATACATGTATGTATGTGTGTATGTGTATATGTATATATATATATATATTAATTACACACATCGTTGTATGTAAATACATCTATAGGCACAGTGTACACAGCATCGAACCGCTTGCTTCGCAGCGGAGCGATCTTGGCAGGCCGTGCTGTGTGGCTTTTGGAAGTATGGTATTTAATTTCATCTTCTTTGACGTGTATGCATGATACTGAAGTCTCAGCCAACAGCCGGCTGGAGCACATCTCAAGCTCCGCCGTGGACACGTACGTGAGGGCTTCGGACATTCAGGTGAGGCCGCAGGAGACAAACCGGCCGAGGCTTCCGATGACGGTATCCGGGCGAAGTGATATCTATGTATGTCTACTTACCAGTCTACCTATCTAGCTATATGTATCTCTCTGTCTGCATGCCTGTTTGTCTATCTAACTACTTAACTAGCTATTGTTTCTTTTTCTATCTATATCTCTGCCTATCCATCGTTCTTATCTATTTTTCTATCTGTCAATGGAGGTTTTCAGCAGATATGTACGGAGGTATGCATCCATGCATGCATGCAAAAACCTTCTGCAGTCGACATTTGCTGCAGGCGTTAGCCGACTACTCTGCTGCCATCGCGATCGAGCCAAAGTTTCCTGGCCCAAGGGTTTGGTTCAGTCGAGACCAGATGCAAAGCAGAGCTTTTGGGGTCGGGGTTTAGGGGTTTACCGGTGTGGGTGCCATGTCCGGGTTCCAACATACCCATGTACCGTCAGACTTCAGGGATTAGGGGTCCGAAGAGCTGTTCCAAGGCTCTGTTGTTTTCGACGGCTGAATTCCATGCGCTTAGGCTTGAACACCGATTGGAGTAAGACTGAGTAAGAAGGACGATGTAGGCAAAGCCCACTGGCGTGCTGAAGGCAAGCAAGCACATTGACGGGTGCATTAAGACACCGGGTGTTTGCACTCCACCGACCCGGAAAGATCTGAGTCTCAGTGCAATTCGTAGTTCAATTGAACAGGAGGGCTGCCTTCCTCAGCAGCCGTGGAACTGTCAAGAGCGAGCTTGGATGGTACAGCGGCCTGTCAGCAGCGGCAAGAACTGCAACTCGGTTTGGGTAGTGAGTTGCATCCTGAAGTGAAGCTGCTAGCAAAGGAGATGCCATCGCCGACTTCATGACAGCCTTGAAGCTGGAACCTGACTACAAGGCTCCCCGCTGGCTCTCCGGAGAGTTCCTGATATTAAGCATTTATGAATTCATGGGGCTTCTTGGACCGGAAATTGGACGTGAGGGCGGCCCTGGCCCTTACTGTGAGGTGTCCGTAAATTGTGGATCTTGAGCCATTTCGGCAGTGCATATCAGGGCCCCTTGGATTCCGAAACTCCCATTTGTTTGGATGAAGGGCGCTCTCTGAAGCGGGAGGTCGAGTGTCCAGGCAGAGCACCTTGCAGCCGATGTCTTAGGGTTTAAGGATGTTTCGGAACTGGTTCTGCGCCGCTCTCAGGTTGCCAAGTTCGGAATGGAGTTGGTGACGTTTGCCAGCATTCAGCGCAGCAGCAAGCACACCTCGGGTCTATATACTGAGTCCAATGCGTATCTGCAAACACGCAGAGTCGGCAATGTTCTTCGTCGGACAAGAGAGCCCTAAGGAAAACGCAGCAAAAGGACGGACCCCTGCGTCCCCGCCTCAGCTTTCCCGTCTCCGCAGAGCCCATGCATCGCGCTGGCTCGGTTCCTGAGGGCAGTGTGTGCATTTAGGCATCTCCCTCAGCTCTACTTACAATAGAACCGCTAGGGTCGTAGGGCAGACGGCCACCCGAATGGCATGCCTCAGATCCCGACATGAAGCCCTCAACAGTTTGCCCGACCCGCAAATCTACGTAGTGTCTTCTGGTGCAAGTTTTACTTTCTCCTGTTTCGAAAAGTGTCCTAAAGATTTCAACACATTCAGGACGAAGTTTTCGTAGCGCTACTGTACAAAGGAGGCATGAAGAGGCACCATCAGAGCAAGCGGCCCACTGCTGCAACAGAGTATAGCATGAAGCGTGGGCACCTTTGTTCTCGATTGTGCTTGAGTTGAAGTACAGATGCTGAACCAGTACAAGGAGAAGCCAATGCATGAGGATTCTGTCTTCCCTTAGCTTCACCCCTTCTGGCCGCACTCTCGCACCGACTCGCGCCGCTTGCCTGAGCTTCTGCGAGAGAGCAATGCTAGGAATGGTCGTTCTCTGTGGCTTCAAGAACATGAGCTGCATGATCCACGGATGCATTCAGCAGAAACTTCGGTTTCTACCGAATCTCAGCGTTCAGACGGCATGTTCTGCCGATTTGACTGTGTCTGGCAACTTGCCGGGGTTGTGCCGGTTGTGCCGGTCCGAAGGACACGGACTCCACTTGCTCTTCGAACCCCCTGCAATTTGTGCAGAGATTCTTGCTGAGCTCAGGAACATGACCTACGTAGAGCGACGCCAGAGGGACTCGCTCATCCATGGCAGAGAGTCGCAGCTTGCTCTGATGATAGTTTTATGTGCCACTGCAGGCTGAGAAGCTTATCAGCCGTTTGTCGCCGTACGTAGGATAGGTAACGTTCTGGCACAAAGCACTTTGCGGCTGTGTTCTCAGTGTTCTCGACAGCTTACCCGAGCGCTACGTAGTAGCTATACTGGCATTCCATCGCAGTGTATGAGGCAGCATGCCACCAAGCTGTCATGGCGGGCTGACGAGTTCCGAACCCGACTGATACAGGTTCTGGTCCTTGAACAACAAGTATGTCCTCTATTTCAGCACTCAGGCACCGGGAGGTGTTGGGTCGTTTCGGATGCAGGGCGATGATGGAAGATGTCGCGACTTGAGGTGAATCTTTACACTTCATTCTTAAGAGTATCCTATAGACTGCAAAGCATAGTCGCAAACCCCGGACTAGGAGGATCTTCCGCGATTCTTACAGAATCAGGAAGGCGGGCTGCGAACAGCAGAACTAGACAATTTCTTCGACAGACCAGAGGGCATTGCCTTTCGCATCGCAGGAGAACCGCTGGAAGGGATGCCGAGCCATTGACGTCCCACGTATCACCACGGAGGCTGTGTTTGAGGTTTTCAGGCATCATTGGGCAGATTCTGCGCAGATGTGTCGCGCTGGGCTTTGTTGGAGCTACACTTTCTCCTATTTCAGGCTGGGTCTCCGAGTGCCGTTGCGTAATGCGCCAATGCAGCCATTTGTTTCGATGGCTCACCATTTCACCCTCGAAACAAAAATTCGGTGGTTGAAAGCAAGTCTCTGCTTTTCACCAAAAGCAGAAAAGCAAATACAATTTAACAACACAACATTGTGGCTAAAGACAATATAGATGTAATCTCCATACCAGGCTTCGCCGGCTTGCGTCGGAGCGCCTGAGCACACCCACCTGTTGTCGCCGAGCCTGCGGAAAGGCAACCGACAGTGGTTTCAGAGGATATGAGATACGCCCATTACCACATGTCTTTAAGAGCTTGTATTGAAAGCTGATCTTGAAGCGGATAAGCGGATCTGCGCTGCTGTAGCGGCTTTCTCGCTGCTGTGTCGTGGCAGGCTGGTTCGAGTGGTCTGGCAGGCACTGGGTTAAGTGTCTCGGTTAGCAAGTACACAGCAGCGTGAACGACGCTCTTCAAATTCAAAGCCTCACTGACAGCCATCGTCTCGTTTCAGGGTTCCCGATGCTGGAGTCTTCAACGTCGGCCCGGTGGTTGCAGCGCTTCGCATCGTGACGCTCCAGGGCTTTCAGCCGCTTGGCCGCGGTGCTGTCGCATTGTGCATCTACGGGCCTGCAGCTCAACCGCCAAGATCTTCGCCCGTTGACTCGTCGCTGAGGCGGCATGCAGTGAACACCAGCTTCATGGAGCGGAGACAGCTGGAACTCAGTCTGCAGAAGATGGCAGTCAACGCGAAAAGCGAAGTTCTCGGGTTTGGTAGTGCCAATTGTGGCGGCAAACTTGGGCTCGGACAGGAATGTTTCCAGTTTCGCGACCAGCCTTGCTTCTTTGAGGCCCTCCCAAAGCTTCCATCAGTTTGTAAACCTGGGCCTTTGAACACTGCTGCTTCAAGGAGTTCACAGTTAACAGCCGCGAGACATACTGGCCGCTGATCTGCAGAAGTTTTGCATGAAGATTTACGGGACGCCCGTCTTGGAGGTAAATCACATACAAGTAGCTTCCCCTGCAGGTTGGGGAGTCGCATCTCGGAATGCCAGCCCTGGGCACTCCGAGAGCCCGACCCAAAAGACGTCCGCTCGGCCTCCCGTGTTCAGGTCGGTGGATGAGGCGCTCTTCATCTACTGGTGCTTTGGTTGCGAGCATGGGGCTAGCAAGACTGTTCAGCACGTCTCGAAGGATGCGACCATGACGATTGGGACTAGTGACCCTTCATTCACCGGGGGATATCGAAGGGTGCTGCCGCCGCAGTGACTGCCACAACCAGGTGCCCTCGCGAGGCACGGTGGCGAGGCGCGCTGTGCGTGATGCGAGGAGCACCCTTGGAAGTGTGACCATCAGCTTCCAAGATGTACACGACTTGCAGGCACGCGGCAGCAGGATCTTGAGAAGATCCAGAAAGGAGAATCGGTGGCTCAGCTCTGCATGCAGAGCACAGCACTTGAGTTTCCATGCGTCGTGGTTTGGGATTGCTTTCTTTCTTCATCTGTGTTGAGCAAAGCTCCAAGTGCCTTCGCCATTAACCTCGCAAGTTCGACTAGGCAAAGCTTCAGATTTTGAGTGTCGTAAACTTTTCAATGACGATCAAAAAGCTGTGAGCTGCCTGGCGTTTGTTGCCTGATTGCTTCACGACTTCTGAGGTGGCGCTTTTTGGGGCCCCACGAGGCCTGCCACGCGGGGTTTTGCAGAGATCATATAACAGTATGTGTGGACATACATAGCACATGAGAAGTCGTATATTGCCAAGCATTTTTGAGCCGGCTCTGACTGCCGTTCGATGGTACCTCGGTGCACAGCTGTAAGCAGGAAAGCAACGAGTTCGTACGGCATCAAAATACAACACCGCATTTTAGAAAGAGCATAATATGAGAAATGGTTCGATATTACAGCAACGCTTGTTGAAGTGCTGTAGCATGGTACGAAACTTTGTGGCAGAATGTCATGCATTATAACATGATGTGATTGTATCTTACCTTATACTGCCTTTTACTATATGATATTTGCTGTGTATGTATTGTAGCAGCAACTAAAATATTCACTTTACATTGTTACATTCTATCAGCTTCTAGTACGGTATACCCGGCATACTTATTTTCATTTGTCACCGAAGAAAGATCGGCTGGTCTACGCGTACAGGAACGCAGCAACTACCCTACCCTATCAACTCCGATTCGCCTCAGTGCTTGGTGCTGCAACGGCTTAGGCCCGCCCGTCGACGTCACGAATTCCAGAGTCAGAGGGATGGCATGCTGAAGAAATTTCGAGTACGCAAACCTACTCCCTCCACCTGCCGGCCGCCAGGAAGCGATATCCTTTCCTTGAAGAAAGGACTGGCTGCCAAACTGCACAAGCAGCGCCAGAGTGCGGGTGTGCCGTCGGTTTTGTGCAGGATGGCACGAGCTTCAAAACAAGGAGTGGGTGACCAATTCCTTTGCAGGCGCCTCCCCGTAAACCCTGAACCTTGCATGTTTGCCGAGGTTGTGCTCTTGCTTTGTGGTTTATGATTTACCGTACCATATCATACGGTGAAGAAGTAGCACAATAGCTCAAAATGTACGAGCAGGTGAATAATTAGAGAAACAGGTTCTTGAAACCATATAAAATAATGATAGATAATTAAAAGATGAATATATACAAAACTGTATGCGGTTTATGTGCATGCCATCGGTGCCGACGATGTACCGAATCTGACTAATGACCAATGGATCTCCGTGTGAATGTAAAACTGAGAAACAAAGCCACAGCGTGCGGGGTGTGTGGCTTCTCTCTACTTCGGGAGCAGCCTTCCGTGCACTGACCAGGCACAGTGATCGACAAGCGGTCCCTGAGCAAGCGCACCGTGACGCTGTCGCCTGGCCAACACTGACGAAAGGAGTTCTTAAGCCGATAGCTCAAAATCCTAGTGTGGGACCCCATCACAACAGCGCAATACTCGTGCAGGCAGCTGGTTGAGATTTGATTGTCTGAACTGCGGCATCAGCGGCTTATATTTTTTCTTGGCTTGGAAAACAGCACTGCCAACACATAGTATACAGCAGCCAGCAGCACAAGCAGCTTGTGCATGTTTCGAATTCTCATTGGTCGTGTTCAGGATCACGACCCTTCTCATCAACATTGGGCAGAGCCTACGTCTTTTCAGGTTGTTGGTTTGCAGTGGTACGGTGCTGTGTGTTGAACACACATCTTACGGTGGCTGCTTCAGCAAGAGGTCAGAAAGGTCTTGAGATTCAGCATCCGACCTGCATGGGGTCAGCCCTGCAGCAAAATGAGCGAGCACCCAGGCTAAAGAAGAGACTCCCACAAAACTATCCGGATGCTCCAACCTTGCAAGCTATCTTCAGGCTGTACGCCTTAGTTAAAGCCTAAAACCTCCATGCTTTGAGGGCTGGCTTCGCAATAACGGGCCTGAACGGCATGTACGTGGAGAGCCGCAAGAAGGATGGGAAGCCTCAGGGACCTGCTGGTAGTCGCACCAATGGTTTGGGCCTGTAGGGTCTTATGCAGGGAACGCAGGGAACTTGTTCTGGACAGCATGCTTGGAGGTTTATGTGATGTTTGCGATGAAGTGTCTGCATATGTTTTAGCGCAAGTTGAGTTTTCGACGCTATGCTAACGACATGGCTCTTTCAGTCACATGGTCTTGGCCTGTAATCGCGGGGTTTAGAGTAATCTGAATTTGGGAAGGAGCTGATGGTCAATGACCGCGAGATCTACCACTCAAACAGTGAGCATTTTGGTACGCAATGCTTTGAAGTGCTGGAGCCGAGCAGAACGGATAGAGCGATTGATATGTAGTCGGAATCTATCCAGAGGCGACGGTCTCATGCAGCTGCTGTGAGTTTTAGCACAAGGTCCGAAGAGACCCGCCACTTCCTCTACTGGTCCAAGGCCCACCGCACGGAACAAGCATGAGCAAGCAAGTGAGGTCGCCTTGTGACGTGCCCGATTTTCTTGACATTTCAGCGAAACGAAGCGTTCGACATCGCCCTTTAAGACGCATCTGTTGGAGCTGCAGTCGGAAGTAGCCCTGGCGGTTTTAACCAGACATGTGAAGATCCGATTGTGTTTTCATCGGGTCAGACGTTCGCGTTGATCCGCTTACTTGTGCCACTACTGCTGTTGCTACCACTACTACTACTACTACTACTACTACTACTACTACTACTGCAGCAGCAACAACAACTACGTACCACTACTGCTTAATTACTATTACTATCACTATTAATATTGCTGTTACTAATAACTAGTAATATTACTATACCTGCTACTTTTCTATTTCTATTACCATTACAATTACTACTCCTATTACCATTGCTATTACGAACTCTTCAAGCTCGCGGCAACAAGGGCTGGGACACGCCATTTCCGATGGCACCTGGCTGCTGGTTCTTTGAATTTTGGGCCCTCTCTGAGTTCTATAAGGTTTCCATTAAAATTAAGCCCTAAACCCCAAACCCCAAACCCTAAACCTCAAACCTTGCTTTAGGGGCTCCTTTCAGGCGCTCTTCTGAGGGTTAGCATACTGTAGCAGTTTTGTGGAAACGGCTTCGTGGCTTGATTTAAGGTTATATAAGGTTTTTTGGGATTGATGATTAGACAATGGAGTCAGGGTTCAGAGCATCTGGGGTCTTAGGATACCAAACTTCGGATTGAGAGAAGAGGAGCTGGATAAGCTATCGGGGTGCCGAACAACCAGGTCCTTCACTTCCTTGGCTTCAGAGGCGCACCGTAGATGCAGGCTCAAGGTATGAAGTCCCTCGAAAGAAACGGCGTGGGTTTATTCAGGGTCACATAAGGGAAGCTTCAGCCCATTCGCGAGATATCCATAGAAGACTCCTCAACCCTCTAAACCCCACAAGCCCTCAACCCTCAAGCCTGAACCCTAAACTCCCAACACCCCTGAACCCTGAACCCTGAACCCTAAACACCCGAATTCCCAAACCCTAAACCCTAAACCCTAAACCCTACCGTTTTGGGTGTTGGAAGTCCCGGGCTTCAGGGTCTTGGCGTTCGGGCTCCCCGCGTCTTTCGCGAGCTGCGAGGCAAAAGAACTTGTGACCTTATGTCGGGTTTAGGCTAACGTTTTTTTTTTTTTTAAGGGCCCTTTTTCGTCTGCCCATTCCTGAGCTAACGTTTAGGGTTTAGGGTTTAGGGTCTAAGGGCTTCAGGTTGAGGGCTCAATGTTTAGGGCTGAGGGGCTAAATGTTTAGGGTTCAGGGTTCAGGGTTTAGGGCTCAGAGTTTAGGGTTTAGGGTTTAGGGTTGCTGATGGTTTAAGACACATCGTCTTCTCACTCGTCTACAACTTGTTACACCCAGGGTTACTAGCAGCGCTA